AAAGACATTTTATAACCACTGCAAAAATGTGTGTTCCAGACTTATTCAAGGCAATATAAAGTGTGAAAATAAAATAAGACATTTTAAGGATCTGTAGGAACCCAGAAGTCAGTTAACACTTAACAAACAATTCATTGCCAATACAACTTTTCAAGGCTAAATTTGTTTGTTGAGCACCTAGTAACCTTTTTGTTGGATCTATTTGTAGTGATGATGCAGTAGCAGAGAAGAAAGTGAAAAGCAATGGCAGTGTTGGCAGTACAGGCAGTGCCCAGGCTGATGCAAACTCATCTGCATACAACTATAATTGGACTGGTTATAATTCATCAGTAAGGAGAATTTTTTATAGTTTTTCTATGATCTCCGTCAAGATTTTTGAGTGCTTCACATAACAGTAGACACTATTTCTTTCTTCAAACACAGAATCTGTGTGATAGCTCAGTGTATAGTTGCAATACTTGAGCTGTATTCACATTAGACATTTTGACGATAAAGCTTTGTTTGATTGTCCTTGAACTATTCTACAACCTTAACTGCATTTGAAATCTCAGTGAATGATTCTCTGCTCAAAAACATTTCCAGGCATGCGAGTTGTCAACCAGGGAACTTGAAATTCATCAATTGTCTGGTTACATCTGTGATTGGTGAACTAGTTTCATACAAAACTAAATGCATAACTTCTATTTTATCTGCAGGGAGCATACAACTACCAACAGCCACCATGGAATACATATGGTCAAGGATATTACCAGTCATAATCTGAATCAAGAGTACATTGATGTTTATTTTAACTTGCATTTTTTGTACAGCTGCTACGTTACACCAAATTATATCAATACTGTCAGTGGTAAATGCCATAATGACTTTATTTTTGGAATATGTTGTCAAAATGATCTACTTTAGAATTAAGTATCTGCCATGAATTATTCACATGTTGAAATGTATTTTTTTTGTTTTTTTTTTACCTTTAAATTCTGGTGCAGAGGGAGGGGGATGAAACATTAATATCTGGTCACACATACTGTTCTTCAACAGACCAAGTTGTGGGAGTAATTAGGTTGGATACAAACAATATTTTTATTCACCTGAGGCAAAGTCGGGACTACCGATAGTATTAGATTTATAATTTTCAACACAATTGGTGTAATACAGTCTTTTGAATATGTAAAACTGCAGTTCAAGACAAATAAAAACTATAATACTTGGTTTATTGAATAATGTTTATTTCAGGCACAGAGCAAATTACAGTAAGTCAGTACTTTCATGCTGATCACTCAAGGTTTATCAATATTTTTTTGACTGGAGCACACAAATCTAAAAAGTGTGTGCCATTGAACGAACCAACAAGCGTACATAATCTTTAATTCAGTAGTCTATAGTAATTTAAACCCAGTGATTAAATTAGCCTTGCCTTACAAATTATTTACACATGCTACTGATTTGGATGGATTACTGATTAAATGCAGGAAGGATTTGTGATGACTACTCTATTTTGGCGAATTTCTTCAATTTATAGACAGACTGATTTACAATGCAATTGATTGAAATCATGATTTCTTATGGTTAAGAGCCAATTGGCTGACAATACATATGCATTGTAAGCAATGTTGCCGTCACTAATTGCAATACAGCTGTATTATTTGACTATTGCTGGTTAGGTCCAAAGGTGCAATGTTGGGCTATGTGCTAGCATTATGCCATGCACTAGACAGACCAGTGAGGCTGCATCAGTAAATTCGGCTATGTGCGTGTATATATTGGCAAATCTAAAAAAAAATATCTAGGGGTAATGTCCTTGTCACCTCTGATTATTAGTTATAAAACATCAATGATCGTCTAAATTCGGTATTCACTTGGAAGCTCTACAGAGTTTGATTGATTCATGTGTCCTAATAGAGCATATGGTTTACAACACACAGTAGATAAATAATCTTGGAAGCACCTCGTGGGTTGAACACTGACGGTTATTTGGACCAGTTCTCTGATGTTGGCCCTGTTTTAACAGGGTTTCTCCACAACGTGTACGTAATAAGCAGGACATTCAATATCACCGAGTGGCTTGAAGTCTCCATATACGGCATGTTTGCTATCAGAGCCAAAAGCTTCTTTCAACAACTCCGTAAATGCATTCAAGCGATGTGGATAGTAGGATAGACGAAATTTGCTGAAAGTAAAAAAAAAAAAAATTTAGTTTATAACAAGCAATTAGGAAAGTTTGTTCTTGTGCTTTAATAAAATGTTGGCAGTTATATGCTCGTTTAAAGTGCATGTACTAATTGTATAACTGACATCTCTCAGTGTTCTCCCCAGAAAAATGTATCAGAGTGGCGGCTAATTTGCATATAATTTACATATCATTAGCATTTGTCTGAAGATAAAGAAAACAATAATGACAGGCTTGCATGGATGAAAATGTGTCTTTATTTTTTAACAAATTTATGTAGAAGATTAAATGAATCTGCTGCTGTGTGATTTCTATGTAATGTTGATTCTTCGGACTTTCATGGAAGCCCAGTGATCTGCAGCTTTTGAGAACGCAGTGATTTTCTTCGCTTCCCACTTCTATTAAATGACATGGCCTTCTTGTGCATCTCCAAGTGTGCGTGTTTATCGATAGCATATTTCGTAATAGTTATACATGGCATAGAATTCCATACCAAAGAACTATTTCTGGATGTTTTTAAGTTGAATTTTCCACATATGTGTCACA